TTTGCTCCTTTTCCTCTCTTGTTAAGCTGCCATTCCCTTCTTTGCTATCCAGATCTTCAATTTGTGTGATCTCTCTTTGCTTCCTTTCCTCTAGTCTCCCAAACTCTAATAAGTTCCATTCCTTGATCATTGCCTTTAGATATTGAAGTTTTTTGTGAAACCTCATTCCATTCCACTCCACTGTTGGATTGCTCTCTGCCCACCAATCTTCTACTTTCTTGATGAACCCTGGGTGCTCTAACCACATGTTTTCAAATCTAAAAGGAGTAGGGCCCGCATTTCTCACCTCCTTACAAAGTACAATAGGCCAATGATCAGAGGTTACCCTCGGGAGTGCTCTAGAATTCAAATTTCCCCAATGTTCTTCCCAATCAATTGAGAACAGGAACCTGTCTAGCTTAGAGCAAATTGGGTTGCCTTGGAGATTGGACCATGTATAACATCTTTGAGGCAATGGGATTTCCTTTAATTCAAAAGCATCAATAAACTGGTTAAATCTCCTCATACTTGTATTGGGCCTCTGCCTAGGACTGTTAGTTTCTTCCATACGTTGAAATCTCCTCCTAGACACCAAGGCCCATCCCACAGATCCCTAATGTCAGCTAGTTCTTCCCAAAATTTCCTTCTTTCCCTGTAATCATTTGGCCCATACACATGGGTGAGCACCCACTCAAAGCCATCTTCCACTTGCCTAAATTTCAAGGAAATTGATAATTGTCCTATCAATTCCTCCAACCCAACAACTACCTCATTCTTCCACATTGTCACAACACCCCCTGTAGATCCCCATGAAGGTAAAACCACCCAACCGATCCCCCTACCTCTCCACACACTCTGTTATGGACGCATTCCTCGGGAAGACGTACCGTCGCCATCGGTAGCAACAGGCACCTGACCCACCGCCAGCAGCAACAGTGATTCAATGATTCTCATCCTACCTAGTTTGGCAACATCAGCCTTATCTAGATTAGATTAGATCATCTTGCTTGTTCTTATCTTATTGTTCTTATCTTATTCTATTGCTCTTATCTTATCTTGTTAGTAGCTTATCGGATTAGGATTAGCTTATCTTATCCTTAGCAAGATAGAACTGGAAGTCTCCCTATTCAGCAAGGAGACTCCCTTTGATTAGGACTCTTGTA